GAGGCCGTGCCGGTTGCGCGGGGCTACTCTTCCGATCGTCTTATGAAAGCCGTTATGGCATGAAAGTGGGTCAACATATACCTTTTTGGAAAGCTGACAATGTATAGATGATCATTCTGTAAAAATATGAGTACTTTGATCCCTCATATTTGAGAGGGGAGTGTTTGGAAGGAATGACTCGGATTGGAATAGTCGAAGACCGTTTTAAAACTGTAAATTCGTACGTTTGGAGACGTCCTAGACCTAAACATGATGCGAGCCGATTTTTCGCTAGACTTTCAGCTTTCCGTTGCTATTTTTATGCGTTTTTTACGATGGCTGGTTCTCGAGAAATAAACATTTATCTGCTGCCATGTCGCCAGCGGCGGCCCGGCCCCGCTGCGCTCGCTGCTTGCTCGGCGCTCGGCTGCCTCGGCCTCGGCTCGGCTCGTCTCGTCGGGTTTGGCTCGGTCGGTAGTCGGTCGAAGTCGCGTTGAGTCGAGGTGGCAGTGACGCAGTGACATCAGATGTTTTGTTTGGTTCGTGCTGTGTAGACCACTCGTCGGCTTCTGGCTACTGTTTGCTGTTATTGTCGTTTTGTCGTTTCGGAATCTTCAAAGAAATCATGGCACGCCCCTCGGTCTTGAAAATGATAAAGTATTATTGTTTGCTGGACGCTGAACTCAGCGCTCAGGGCCGTCCCTTCACTGAGACAGAGAAAAGTAAGTTGTTATTTTGCATGACATCGACCCATAACCTCGAAGCCGGTTCATGTTTATAATACCATGTTGTGCACTTTCTCCTCTTTCCAGTCAGTATTAAGCGCATAATAGCCTACAATCTGTTCAAGCGGCTCACAGCTCACGCCAGGCTTCGAGCGAGGCTTGCTAATAGGAGGCAGCTGAAGAGATGGCATGTGAGGCCAATTTTCCAAGACAGGGAGATTTATGGTGCTTGGTTCTCACTTATCCCTTTGATGAAGGAGGCAGACACTGATGAATATTACCGGTTCTTCCGAATGACTCCTGATTGTTTTGATTGGTTGCTTGAGCAAGTGAGCCCGTTCATAACAAAGAAGTCAAATCGTAAAAGCATTTCAGCAGGGGAGCGTTTAGCCATTACTTTAAGGTAAGGGTTGTGCACCTATTTTCCGAGGTGATGTATTTTTTAAATTCTCTACTAATCACCTGCATTTCTCTGTGCATCAGGTATTTGGCATCAGGTGACAGTCAGTCCTCTTTGTCCTACCTCTTCCGGGTGTCTAATCAAGCCATCTCCAAGATTGTCACTGAGACAACAGCTGTAATTTGGTACACCTTGAAACCAGTGGTATTTGAACAATTAAATGAGGATTTTTGGAGACGTAAGGCAGCTGAGTTTGAATCCATGTGGCAATTTCCCATGTGCGTTGGTGCAATTGATGGAAAGCACTGCTCCTTTCAGGTAACACCTTGTACTATTATTTTTTTCTTTATAGAAATTCAACAATAAATATAACACTTTTACTGTATGATGTCTGATCAATACTTAATCTGCATTATTTAATTTGTCTTACAGAAATTTCCAATGCGTGGCTCAGAATTCTTCAACTACAAAGGAACACATAGTATCATCCTCTTCGCAGTTGCTGATGCCAAGTATAAGTTTATTGTGGCTGACTGTGGTGCAAATGGGCGTGAAGGAGACAGTGGAGTGTTTGATACATCAGCCTTTGGGCAACTTTTCTACAACCATGGACTACGCCTCCCCCAACTTGTCTACAATCCCAAGATAGACTGTCTACTGCCGTATGTGTTCCTTGGTGACGATGCTTTTCC